AAAGACCCATTAAATCTATCCCACTAAGAATGAGCACACACAAGGCTGGCTTTCACATGCTTTAAAAACCAAGAACATAGTTTTCACAAAAAATTAACAGTTTATTTTGTTGATCCTACAATTACATTTAGACAGATAACTTTTTTTTTTTTTAAATAAATTTCAGTATTTTGCAGATGACTATGAAAACAAAACAAACCTGAAATGCCTTTAACTACAATTTTCAAAATGTTCTTTGGGAAACAAACAAACAACACAACAGATTTCTTCACAGCAGAGGAAGGACAATGCAGGAGACGACCTATGTGTATTTTACAGCATATTCCAAAAGGCAACAAACTGCCAGTCCTATGGGAAAAATTATGTATGACTCAGCATTACATGTTCTTAATCGCTCCTGCTATTAAGTTCTCATGCTTCATCAAATTGATTTTAATGAGAACAAACGCTCTGGGGATGGTCCAGTCTCATATAAACCAATAATTTCACAGAGCAATGTCCAGCTCCTGATTTTTGAGGGCCACACTCATTGCCTCCTCACTACTGACACATCTGGAAGTTGGAGTGATAGCGCACTGTGCCAGAAGCCTATGCACCAAAGAAAGCACCAAATCCCAAAGAACACAATGAAATAACACTTATTTCAAATGCTCTCTCAAGTCCCACAGTCTCGGTGTGAGGCATGAGCTAACAAGGCATCACGGCTGCAGACTGTGTCAGAAGATGCATGGCAATGCACCATTCCAAACCTCAGGAATGGAACTCGGAATCCACTCACACCTACGGCTCAATGTAAAGTGACTTCATCAGTCACCACTTGGCCAACCCTTCTATTTCAACAGCTCTCTTGCTGTATATTAATACCTGTCATCTTAAATGAGAAGGAATTATCATGTAACTTGTTAAAATATGTTTATTAAGATATATGCCAATAAACCAGTTCTCACAACTTAAAAAAAAAAATTGAGCCTCACAGCATCAGAGCACACTATTTCTTTGCTGAATATCTAAACCAAAAACATGTGACATTGCTGTGTGGACTTTTTTTTTTTTTAAATAACATGAGAATGTCCCTCAGGTCAGTCACTTCAGCATTACTGAGCAATTGTCTATAGGCAGATCGTAACAGGTTAATAATCAGCACTTCCTAGAAGTCTGTACATCTTTAATGTAGTTCCTTTATTAAAAGAATCACTAATTACTGTTCTATTTTTACAGTAATAAAGAAAAAAAACAAAGAGAAAATTAGCTAGGTATAAATTTGAAAATATGAGAATATACTTCAGATCAGAACACCACTCAACGAGTCTGTGCTATAAACTTCTATTAGATAATGGTTAAAATTAAGTCCATGCAGTATTTAGTTTTCCACTGTGTCCTTGCCATTTGTTACAACCCCCATCCTCATGAAGGTCCTCACTCTACTGTGCCTTTAGGTTCGACTGCGTAGAATACAGGAGCGCACAATAAAGAACAGTTAGATAATTCACAGCAATTTTAATGTTCTTACAAAATAAATGCAGTTCAAGTATATGAAACACCACTGAGCTTCCCAAGGTATCCACGTGCTCTACGTAATGAGCACACTGGAATGAAGAGCTATAAACAAATCAACTTTTTTGCTGTTCTTCAAGTGACCATGGCAATAAATACAAATGCAATTAACAAGCTGGACCATTTGAAAATGCTGCTGAACCGCAGTAACAGCTTCTCACAGTGCTTCAGTAGCTCTCATTGCTTTCCTTTCATCCCAGCAATGAATGCCCATACCCACTAGCAAAGAAAACCAAACCAAAACCAAAAAAATTCCTAACAATTTTCTAAAGGGTATTCAAGAGAAGCGTTCCTCAAATATTTTAAATCAATTGCCCACATAATATTCAGAGAGGAAAAATGCACTGAGCCACGTCAGACAACTCTGAATGTTTGTCAACATTTAACCAGGAATAATTTTTTCCCCCCAGTCTGGGCAGCCACCTACTGCTGTCACACTGTAAACACCAAGAGCTCATGGATGACAAGCTAATAAACGAGCAAAGAGTGATCTTCATTATTCCCAAATGTGCTCCATTTTGTTCCAATAAAAATAGAATACACAGTAGTGTTCTATGAGGAATTGCATTATTGGTTTTGTTTGGTTTTATTTATATGGAATATTAAAGCTTTACTGCCTGCACGTACTGAAATCATATCACATTTTACACTGAATTCATAAATAACCTAAGAACTCAAATACAAAGAAAAGAAACAATCTTCTCATCAGTCTCACATATCTTCCAAGCTTATCTGCACCGTCACAGATCACAGCAGTCAGGACCTCACTGTTCTTTCCAGTCTAACATACCAAGGAGTTCAAAATCCAAGCACATCTTTGCACAGAAAAACTGATTAACTCCTTTTAATCTCGATGAATCGCTTTGAGCACATGGGCATTATCTTCAAGCAAAAAATTCTAATTCTGTAATTTCTGAGGAAATTATATCCTCATTGTACAGCTACATTCACTACCACATATGGCAAAATGAAAAACACTGCCTTTGCTGCTGAGCAGTATACAATCATGTTGATTCTATGGCCAGATAATGCTAAGAAAACTCATCTTAGAGACAGGGGAGCCTGTCATTAGCTACAGATGGAATTCATTAAATCCAGAGGGTCCAGAGGAGAGCCACAAAGATGATCGGGGGACTTGAGCACCACTCCTATGAAGACAGGCTGAGGGAGCTGGGCTTGTTCAGCCTAGAGGAAAGAAGGCTGTGAGGTAACCTCACTGCAGCCTTTCAGAACCTAAAGGGAGCCTACAAAGAGGAGGGGAATCAACTCCTTGAAAGGGTAGGTAACAGCAGGACAAGGGGAAATGGTTTTGAGTTGAAGGAGGGGAGATTTAGGTTGGATGTCAGAGGGAAATTCTTTCCAGAGAGAGTGGTGAGGTGCTGGAACAGGCTGCCCAGAGAGGTTGTGGATGCCCCGTCCCTGGAGGTGTTCAAGGCCAGGTTGGATGGGGCCCTGGGCAGCCTGGTCTAGTATTAAATGGGGAGGTTGGTGGCCCTGCATGTGGCAGGGGGGTTGGAGCTTCTTGAGGTCCATCCCTTCCAACCTGGGCCATTCTGTGTGATTCATTAAATCATTAGATGCATCCAAATTCAGTATTTCTTCAGTATTCAGTATCTCAGTTTTCAGTATTTTTCTGAACTTAAAGGCTTGGTCCATGGATTAGACGATTTTCTGCAATAAGGGCAGCAGACAAACTCACTAGCATGCAGCAGTTTTACACTAGCAGACCACAGTTTTACACTGACAATGGCTCTCAACTACAGAATGAAAACCACCAGTATCAACTGAAATCTACAGTAATCTTCAAATTATCTTGGCTTGCAAACAAAAACAATGAAGCACAAGTACATGCACTTAAAATAGTCTGTGGCTGGCTAGGAAATTACGAACCACTTCTGCAGGTTTGGTATGCTTTCTGGGCTCCTGAAACATGTTCAGACACTACAGGGATGGTGGTTTACACACACCTGAAATATACAGGAGTCGGTTAGAAGTTCTGAATGACTGTTCTCTTCTTTGAAGAAAAAAAAAAAAAAAAAAAAAATCAGAACAAAACTCATAAACATGGTACAGGTTACCTTATTTAAGCCAAGTTCCCTTTCAGGGTTTTTGCAGTTTAAAATTACCAAATAACTCAGACCAATACTATCTTTCTCAACCCCCATTAGAAACATCATGTTCAAAATAAGGCCTAATGGGATAGGATGTAAGTAATCTACTACTTACACACACTAGTAAACTGTATTTTCAACTGAACGCAGAACATGAAAGCAGAAAGCTTAAGCATTTGCTACCAATACTTGTGCACACCTAATGAATAGTAGCAGTTTTCCCAAACGTTCAGTTTTAGGAACAGTATACTTAGTAAAACCGGTTATAAGGTTTTTGTTTGTTTGTAAAGAATGAGCACTATAATATGATACATGTATCAAGGAGGGAGCAGTATTTCAGAATTTGAATCTATCTTACTATTGCAAAACAAACTATAAAGATGTGGCATGCATCTAAATGAGAGCAGAAAAAAAGACAACATTAGAGATGATTGAGAGGAAAATGCTTAGTAATGCCACAAGTGAGTAGTATCTAAAGAATATGGTAATATTCAAATTCCATGAAAACAATCTCTATCTTTGGCCATACAACATTGACAATTTAAACAGTGTGCTTCCAAGATGTCAGTAATGCATCTTTCCCATTACTATTTATTCACAGTTTACCAAGACCATCACCGCTATATTAAAACATAATACATGCATGCTCTCTGCTGCTTGCATCTCATGCTTTGAGCTACATACATATCATCTTTATATAATTAGGGAACAACATTACCTCAAATTAGTTTTGAATCAACTTAATACCACTACTCATGCAAATAATATTCATCTTTTCTACTTGTGAAAACATGAAGTGAACAGATAAAAACAGAACACTAATACTTTCACAGGAAAAAAAAAGCAGTATAACCAAAAAACATCCCAGCTTTCTTGCCATTATGGGAATAGAACCAATAGGCCTTTTCCATCACCTTCCACGACTGATGAAGTTTGAATATAAGCTTCCTAGCAGTTTTATCATTAGTTCCATCTTAAGACCTGATCAGCAAAGCTAGCCTGAAATGTTGAAAATGAGTGTTTTCCAAATTCATTGTTCAGTAAAACCACGTCAAGAATCATAGAATCATATACTAATGTGCAGTCCTTCTAGAAGCATATGAATGCTCTACCTATGAGTGAACAATCATTTCAGCAGAGAACACTTGTCTTTGAATTAACAGTTAATTGTTATAACAGATTTGTTTCATGTCAACCAGTGGGAGAAGTAAGTACTCATGTATACCTACAGTGATACATCATACATCAGAAGGCTTTAAACAAGCTTGCACAAATGCTTCCTTCCCTTGCAATGCCAGGATACTTTAACAATCATTAGAACACATCACAACAATGTTTCTTAGATAAATTCATTCATTCCATCGTGAACAAAGTAAACATACAGGTTTCTTTTCCAGAGGTTATTTTTCTCTCAGATTTTTCCAGCCATTGAAAGGACAGACACTGTCAGACTAAGTTTGCAGAGGGAAGCTGAGATAAAAAGACACAGTATCCTCATAAGAACAATTTGTATAAAACTTTACGCTCTTCAGAAGTTGAAGCAAACTTAAGCAGCTGCAATGTAAATTGTCCGTAGTATGTACTGCTACATGCACTTCAAGCTGAACAGATTCACTACGAACGGAATTTTCGACACACAAGTAGAAACTGCATACGAAGAATGAAAACGATGCCACTTATAGCCAAGCATAAAATTATTCTCACTCAGTATTTGTAATAACATTCCCAAAATCCTTTCAAGTGAATTTTATATTTTATTGTCATCAGATAACCGCATGTTTTACAGCATAGTCACACACTGTATTTTGCTAGTCACAAACACATTGCCTTACATAATGATCTGCATAATTTCTGCTCTATACTACAAAGCCTATGACTGAATACAAAAAAGTTTTACAAAAGAAACTGTTTTAAAGACTACAGTAACAATAAAACCGTTTCCAGATAACAGCTAAAATTATAAAGGCATATCACTGTATATGTTCACTGGAATTTCTTAACAGCAAGGAATGAAGTTTTAGTATCTGCGACGCTTGTTAGGTCCTTCAAAGTTGCCCCCTGGGTTTCCTCTACCAAAGCCACCAGGTCCACCACTCACGGTACCTACACCACTCATGGGCGGCTGAGGAGTTTCGGAGCCCGTTCTACTAACCAGAGGTGAGCCCATCTGTGATGGACCTCCTTGAGGGAATCTCTCATTATGCTAAAACAAGTCCATTTGGAACATGCCAAATGTAAGTTACACAAAAGTGATGTAAGTTACACAAGTGATGTTGTCAGGAAGTTCAGCAGATAGTCCAGCAGAATCAGGATCACACATAGAGGGAAGAAAGGAGCAATTCAATTAGTTATTATCAAAAAGGATGTGGAAATCAGAGACTGCTAATGTTATGCTCTGACTTTGTAAATTCTTAAGTTTTTAATTAAGACCAACTCCGGTGCTCAACACAAAGCAATAATATATTCCATGTAACAGAAGAGAGTGAACAGTAATTTTATACCCTAGTCTTCTTTTGCCTTATACACTAATCACAGTACTTCTCTATCAAAGAAGTTAAGCACATAAACATTGTTAAACTAGAAAAAGTTCAACTTTTTTTAAAAATTTATTTATTTCTAGAGACTACAGTTTCATTCTTCCAATAGTGAAACAATCTCAGAACTTACATATCCACCTATTTGTAGTTTCAGTCCACATGACCTGGAGTTAGCCTTTCATAATGAACCTTAGTAATCTTTAAATGGACTTTTAAAGCCCAAATCAAATACACTAGTTATAAAATGCATAGACTATGCTTCATTCAAAAATAAAGTATCATCTGAAATATGAATAAAAGATGAAAATTCAGTTAATGTTCCATGTGTTCCTTAGCTCCTTATCCAACATTAATAAAGATACACATACTTAGGTTTATTGGGCTATAGCAATAAAGGCTTGAAACAGAAAACATGCATCTGAATACTTATAGTTCACCATTTAAGTGTTTAAAAACAGAATTCTACATAATGAAGTATAAAACATTACCTCAGCATAAGACAAACCATTAAATGCATAGACGTATGGTACAAACAGATTCTGAAATAACTCTTCAGCCACTGAGGACAGTTACACTTTCAGAAGAAATTCCTCTGAACAGAGAGCCATACAACAGCCCGGGAATGAGAGTTCAAAAAGAGCTTTAATAACTACCATCTATTTATATGCCTGAAACAGAATAATTCTTCCGAAAGTCTAACTCCAGTAGTAATAGTAGGGCACAAGAGTTCCAAAGGCACTTAAATATAAACACGGATTGCTATCTATATTAAAGAAATTTTACATAACTTAGATCGTGGTTATGCATATATATACGCATTACTTAAAAGCTCATCAAAAATTATTTCAACAGCTGCATAAAGATCTGCTAATGTCCCAAATTAGCCTAAAATCTACAGCACTATTTGGAATTTGTTTAGAAAAGTATCTTAAATGAATACAGCTTGGTAGCAACAGTTATGAAATTCAACACATGCTTATCACATACTCATGGTCATATTTACCATTTCATTATTGGACAAAAACAACTCTTTCTAACAAGGAGAACTCGACCCAGCTTAAGAGAAAACTACACTAATTACCTACCTACAATAAAGTATAAGGGAAAAAGCTATTTATAATCATTATGTTCAAAGATATTTTAAAGGATGGCAGTAGAACAACAAGAAAAAAATTCTACTTAACAAAATTCAAAGTCAAATTTAAAAATGAAAATTACACTTCTGGTCTATAAATCGTATTCTCTGTTTCTCTCCAGAGAAATGGAAAACAACTCTCACAGTGCCTCAGGGGACAGAGCTCTGACAATCTCTGAAGCGTCTTTCCAATGCCAACAGAAGAAGGACATACCCTGCTGCAGGCATCTGTCACCCAGACTAAAAGCCCTTACAGTCCAAAATGAAAGGGCATCTCATTTGTCCTTCAGTAACACGTAGAAGAAAATGAAAACTAACTGCTTCACATTTAGTCTGTATTTTGTAAAGCCTATAAATGCCCTTCCCTTCATTTTCGTAACTGGAATGACCTTGTAGAAAAACAACAATTTCAGATAGATAACATGATTTGTAACTCCAGTTTTTTTCCCCTCACACCTCTTTTCAGCATCTATATAACCACAAAATAATGTTCCAGAGGTGACTGGTCAGTAACACAGGAGTTTCCAGTAAAAGCATCTCTGCCAATAGTATTCTTTGAAGAATGCAACCTGTCCCCCATCCCTGTGAGAAGTTATGGAACTGATAAAACGAGCCCATCATATGATATGAAGCACAACCAACTCCTCTCACTGGGAAAGAACAGACTTATCATACATTTTGTACGCAAAATATCATTTTCCCTTAAGGAACAAAGGATTTGTCACAACTTCATTATATGGATACCTCAGTCACAGACTGATACCATTTAGAAGGCATACATAAACTACAGTCACCAAATGCTTCAGTGTTCCAATGAAATTATAATGGAATCACTGCTGTACTTCATACTTCTTTATAACACACCACCACTAGAACATCTCAAGTCTCCATTTACAGAAAAATACTTAAATGTGAGATCTAAAATGACACGGTTGTTTCTCTACATAAGACATTACAGCTAGGAAAAGTGACTGGCTACAAGACAAGAGCAAAAATAGCTAGTGCTCTAATTGCAGCCCAATGTCATATCTGCTCTTGATAAAAGAAATCCAGATGCCTGTCCTACACTCATAGCATCTTCAGCAACTGCTCAATCCTACTTTCCTGCACTGACCTGACAGTTATGCCTAGCAGCTGTTGGCGTACTTATCTTCCAAGTGATTACTGTCAAACTTATGCTTTCAACACCACTAGGAAGAAAGTAGAAAATACTATACTAAGGTCACATTAAAAAATTGAGCAGTTTACACAAAGATATCTTCACACTATACACAGCTTCCAGGATTTATTTAAAAAAAAAAAAAAAAAAAGCTGGTAATGCAACCTTGTTTTATAAAAGAAAAAAAAAAACAGCAGAAGCCTAATTTTACAGATTACTCAGGTACACAGATGCATCTTCACATCTAATTTCCCTTTATCATGCTTTTTGAGGGCAGGTTATGCACACTAAGTTTTACCACAAATACTGTGCAATCTAACCTCAATTTTACTGCTTACTGATCAAAAAATTTCCTCCTCACCTGAAGAAAGAGGAATTTTCCTAATTCTATTTTAATACTAAATATTTTCCTTCTGCAATGTATTTCAGTGAACAAGTCTATCAATTACTTTTAACAAAGTCAAAACTTTTAACGTGGTCTTATTCAGTGTGAAAATATCTTTGGTAATAAAAACGTGTCATGAGACATGACAGCTATTCAAAGTAATTAAATTTGTGATACATTACCACTGTTCCATTATCTGGCATCATTGGTGTTCCCATATTTGCAGCTCCTTCTGGTCCCATGGAAGGACCAGGACCCATTGCAGGGCCAGGCAAAGTTCCTCTGTTGTTCATATTCATACCCATCATTGGAGGAGGGCCTTGGTTACCAGCAGGTGCTGGGCTAAACGCATCTATGCAAAACAATCTACACTTAGAGCTGTCCTATCTGAATTTTACAAAATAAACAAACAATTTATAATATTTTAAAACCCAAATGTACCAGACTTCCAATAAGTGAAATATAAAAAAATATGTATTCTTTGGGACTGTACATTTATCTCAATCATCTGCTTTTAAACAGATTAATTTTGTATTACATCATCTGCCTTCTGTGGCTGAGAAGCCTAAACTTTGCAGCTAAATATAGCTGTACTGTTTCCACGCAGAACATGAAGTGTTCACATAGCGTATATATGCACTGTGCACTCTACATTTAGAAAAAAATCCACAGTGATTTTGCAGTAACTGACACCAATAGGCAACTTGGCTCTTCAAGGATTACTGTATTAAATACAGATTCGCAAAAACTGTTCTGTCAGCATTAATGTTACTGGTAGCTGTTAAAATAATATACTGTAACATCATATAAAAGCAATAGCAATGACGATACTCAACTTTATAATGAGTTATCAGCAACACAACATGAAGAAATATAGTAAAAATACAAAAAAAATTTCTTGGTGTTAGAAGTTATAGATGAAAATTTCTCCAAAACTGTGATTCACATCACTTAAGAACTTCTTTCAAAGAGATTATTTAGCTATAATATTGAGTTACAAGACACCACTCTGCCAGCATCAGCTTTTGTTATAAGAAAGATCAGATTATATAAATCATTTATATCTGCTATTACAACATGTCATCAACTCTAAGACTCATGGTGATGCAACTTTTCCCCCCCCACAATAACACACACTATTCAACCAGAAGCCTGCATCCAAAATTTCACAAAGAAAGAAAACACGTCTTTGGAATCTAGCATATGTTTCAAGTCCTGGCAATATACAAGGAGAAAAAAAAACTGTCAAGAAATTAAGACATGTTGCCAGACTAAAATACATCATTTTTATTCCAACATACCAATCTCTCACCTCTCATAATTTTAGTAATATACACGTTCATCATTATACACAGTTCATTCAGTGCAAATATAGTACTCTGATTTTCTGCATGTATTAAAATTGCATATTTATTATCAGTATTGAGCACCCATCCCATCTCAGCAGTCAGAGAAATCACCACATCAAGATATTGTTGCTAAAACTTAAGACTTAGTCAACTGCAAGCTGCTTAGGAAAAACAATCTAAGCAATGCAGCAGTGCCTATGAAGGTTATCAAAAGCTAGAGAGAAAAACCTTGTAATTTTAAAAGCAGTACTTTCCTAAACTTAGTGCTGACACTCCAAGACTTCTCCCTACAGCATGAAGCCAAAATAAAGGCATGTATAATTTGGATACTTCTTATCAACCCACAAACTTATCATTTCGCAAGTAAAAGATTGTGCTATAATCCAAGAAAAAATTATAGCTGAAAATCTCATGAAACTGTTCTTCAATGTCAATCATTCAAGAATTAAATGTAGAAGGAAAAGGAGGAATTTAAATTGACAAAATAAGGACAAACCTCTATTTTTAAAGGCTAATCATATCCTATATGACTGTAATGATGGCATTGCTCAGCACAACTCAAACCAGTCAATGCTCAATGACCTGTTAAAGCCTGTTTACCAGTATGCTCATTAAGCTCAGCCAGACTGCCACACATGCAGATATTGTTCAGTCATTCTTCAACAGCAATGAGTTCTTACCCTACATAGCCACTGTCCCCTAGATTTTCAAGAACCATGTAGATGTGGCACTGAGGGACATGGTTTAGTGAGCATGGGTGATTGGCTGGAAGTTGGAATAGATAATCTTAGTGGTCTTTTCCAACCTTATGATGCTATGATTCTTTACCATACAAATGCATGCATGCTTGCTCTAAAATAACCCATGCTAGGAAGCCTCTCTGTACTAGTAAGCCAATTTCAGCCAGCTATGATAGAAGGAAGGCAGCTGGGGAGTGTAATATAAACTGGAGTCCTGCACAGCTACTGTAAGAGGCCACAAAAGCTTCTTCTCTACACCTCAGAAAAGCTCTCTAACAAATCTTAAGAGCCAATCGCTTAACTGCTAATTCTTTTCAGAGGCACATTAATGTTGGCAGTTTATTCGCTGGACGAAGTATAGAAACAGACAGAAAGCAGTCTATCGAGCTCATGCCACAGCAGAGACTAATGCACATCTCTGAGCAGGGCTGAAAAAATGTATTTTATGTACGTCCAAAACGTACATGCCAAGGTCTGGCACAGTAGGCAATAAATCAGTAACTCTCATCAATCCAGAGGTAGTCCCTGAAATCAATTTTCCCCAGCTTAGATGAATATTTATTAGCTACCTGTGGCATCACAGTTACAGCTAAGTGCTATGATATGGTATTATGGAGTCTCTCAGACTTGCTAAAGATAATATAAAAATGACTGGTTAGCAAATGTCAGTCTATCACTAGTTAAATCCATCTCAGAGGTGTCTAGCTTTCAAATACTGCTCTCATATAGGTTTCCTATTACTGAAGATACTTCAGCTCCCCACATCATGAAAAGTCACAAATGGCACATGTAAAAACCAGTTTAAAATTACAATTCCAGTAGAAATGTTGTGAGAAAGTATGCCAGCATCAGTACTTAAAGGTCTACTATTTAAAGGTTTAAATTCTGTTTTGTTTTGGTTTTTTTTCCCCCCTTTCTTGTTAATTTTATGGAGGTTCCTGGGATTTTTGGGTTATTTTTTTGAGTGGTGGTAATGTTGTTCATGGCCAGGGAAAAAAAACCTCTACCAGGAGTTAACCTAAAATTCAGATACTGTGGAGAGAAGCACTATTTTTACCTATTCAGAATACTTTTCCCTTTCTAAAATTGGGGTTAGCTGTTACAATAGCTTATTTTGAAAACACACACTTATTTCTAGAATTTTTTTTTCCTTTCTACAAGTATATCTTGTGGAAACTGCTAGCGCTGGTGGGCAAGATGCACAATATCAATACTCAGAATGCCTCTTTAATTGAGATTTTCAAGAATCCGCTAAACCAATAAGCAAAATTTTAACTACAAAATCAGAAAGTCATCAGTTTATGCTTCAGGTTACTACTTCAAATAAACTTCATCTTGACATTGTCTTCCTTTGGAATTAATTCTAAAGTTCATCTTCTGCAAATGAATAAGCCAGTTTCCATTTTGCAGTTATAAATGTTTCAGTGAATGCAAGTGGTGAATAATGTATTTTAAAATGGAGACTGAGCAAGTACATTCGTCTATTAACCAATTCACATTACTCTGAGTTAAACCACAGCACTTCATAAGTTTTGTACACACATTCAAATTTAACATAGAAATACAGGAAAAATGATAACTTAAGTGTTTTTTTTAAGTTAAGTTAGTCAAGAAGCTTCCTAAAGATATTTTAAAATTAATATTCTATATTTCAGTCTTGTTTAAAAGCAGATATTCCAGTTGAGTAATATTCCAAGCTGTTTCAAGTCTGAGCGTACAAGGCAAATACTCATTCTTAAGCCAGTACTCTTGTAAATTTCAAAGCTTTTAGCAGTGACAATAGTTTAAGTCACAAAAGCATAGGGAGAATTACTTGCAAATACAGATTCGCAATAAATTTACAGGGCACAATTATTAAACTTTTGTCAAGAACTGACCTACTTTAAGTACTGCATCACTTCACTGCGCAGTTACAGTTCCAATTGTTCTCATCCCTCTAGAAGAGCACCGAACACTTTTGAAACAGAAAATTCCTGTCCTGCATTGCATAATTTCTGGAGTATTATCTTTCCTTGCCTCTTGGTTTCTCTCACCTTGCACACAGCTTTTTTCTCCCAGGGGTATTTAAAACACATCAAGTGGAAATAAAAAAGCTGTTTGTAAGGAAATCAATTTTTTGTTTCCTATTTCCCAATACTGTTTACTCCATTTTACCAGTAGTTGCCCCAATGAATTACACTTGAGTAACATGTACAGTCCCAAAGAAAAAGAAATTTTACATTACAGAAGCCTTTTTCCTTCAGATCCCTACCTCCCATGTTAATTGCTCCACGAGGACCCATATCACCCATTCTCATTTCCTGTTCTCTCTGTAAGTAAACATAATTTTCATGATCAACCTATCATTATTAGAATTGAAAACATTCCCATTTATTGAATAAAAATGAAAAATGTCACGGTTTTACAGTTTCCATTAATTATGAAAATGTACATGGGATAAAGTTAAATATATTCCTCTACTTGTATAAAATCAAATGTAGAAGTTCAACTTCACAATACAGAATAATTGTGATATTTAACCTTTAGTCTTATAAACAAGTTTCTCTTATTAAATGCAATCTTCAGCTCCCAAAAAGTTAAATAATCAACTGCAAATGACTCCAACTTCAGTTGATGTTCCTCATTAACTAGCGATACAAACTGTCAATGAAGGTCTCATTACATGGTTGCCTAAAGGCCATTGTTCAATAATACAATTTAAATCTGTCTTTACAGCTTAAACCAACTGCTTTAGTGGAAACAAAGGTCTGATGTGTTACATTATGGTAAGCAAATTCAACTTGCCAATTCTACTTTGCTCAAATAGTTTTGACTTAACTAAGCAATGGTACAACTTTTTTGCCTCAGTTCAGAAACTAGCACAGAAATGTAGTATTAATGTAAACAGTATAACATGCATTTCAACTAAACAGAGAAATAAGTGAAATTGATTCTGATTCAATCGATGCTCAGCCATCCAACATCTAAGAAGTTCTGACACTACTGATCATGGACCATGTCCTGCTGTGAAACAACATGCAAAAATCATTACTTCGAGAAAAAGTTCACCTCTCACAGATTGCAAGAGATGCTGGTATCACAGTTCATATCAAAAAGATGAAGAAGGAAATTCACAGTTCATGAAAAACAATAAACTTACACCAAAGAAATACATTCTCATGAATGTTCTGGAAGAAACATTAAAATATATTCTGCCCTCAAGTGAATATACATGCATCTTGAGAATAAATACAAAAAATTTACCTGATTCTGAAAATCATTCCTCTTAGGATTTACAAGTTTAGACACTCTGTAAATAACTTTATTATCCTAAGCGACTGAGCCAGCTTGCTAAAAGCCATTTTTAACTGAATATTTGCGATTTCAAAATGCATTCATGATAGCATTTTTAATATAAAATAACAATTTTGAAAGGAATAAGACTTTGAGTGGTGATGAAGAAAATAAGGCCTTGTAACTAAAAGACAAAGCCAGGTTTCCAGGCCCTGCTACAAAAGACTGGTTGATGAGCAAAATTTCTTCTGACTCTAGAACCCACATTACATTTCTGTTACAGAACATGCAACTATTTTGTCAGATCTTTCAGAGTAATGTTAACCAACATTTTAATATATCACCATCCGTTCAATTTGGATCAATGTATGTAGCTGCAAAATGAGCATACCATCTTGTTGATAAGAGCCTACTACTACACCTCAGCTCTGAGAAACAAAGCAGCATATTCCATCCTATCAATCCCTCACCCAGCATAGTAGATATCACGGCTAAGGTTTCTGTGAATCAGACCATGCATGCCATAAATGCATGCCCAGATGTCTCCTTATGAATAAAAACTTTGCTTCTTTGTAGTTTTAAAAACTATAAACAGCTACAAATGCACAGGATTTTGAATTACTGCACGTAATCTAATTTGGGAGGCTTCCAACTCTTGCAGTATCAAATCAGGAGCGATGCCTTTGCAAGCTGTAAGGGTTTTTTTTGCTTATTTGTAACTTGAAATGTGTCATACAATGCAGAGCCAAATACAAAGGCAATTACATGAGAACTTTCAAGTACAGAGCTACAAAATTACTGCTTCCCAGAAATAAGCAGGTTTTTTTTCCTGAGAAAGACAGAGGGCAAACTACGTAATACACACTACACTTCTTCAACCCAATAAACTACTGTTTTTTCTCAGCTTTAAATTGTACGAGTCTTTAGTTAACAGTCAGTATAACAGAAGAGGAAGGAAGGGTAGGACTGATACCCATATTTCATTTTGTTTTGTATTTAAGTCTGTTGCTAATGTTTACAATAAAGTTATTTATCATTTTGCAGCTTTAGCAATGAATTTCTACTATATAAAAATGTTTCTGGTGTAGACTTTAGACCCACGAACTTAGAATCTCTATCTGCTGATCTATGTACTTCAAAGAAATATTATTCCTATTGTTTTATGCTTACAATTTGTGGCATTCTTGTGTGTTTTCATAACGGGGACATGAATTATACAGCTAACACAAATTTAAAACAGTTCAAGTAAATCCCCTATCAAGAAACACTCAGCGTTAACTGACAGTGTATATCATGAAAGTGATTAAATGCTTGACATATTAAATATAAAAACTTCTACTTAATTTACCACAGCTTTTACTCAAAGGAATCCAGATACAGTCCAACCCCACAAAAATTGTGAACCAACAGATTTTTACTATGCAAGTATGAAAAAAGAGTACAGGTAAATCTGACCGACTATTCCACATCATTTATTTGAAACACTGCAAAGAAAGGAATATCAGCAGACAGTTCTGATAGAGCAGCTGAATCGCTGCTGGCTGATTCTGTTGAACACAGCGGTAATGAGGTTGCCTTTTAAGGGCTTCTCTTCCTCACTATGTGACTACCCACTGTCCTGTTGAGCAGCAGCCTGCTTCAGGCCCTCCCTGAAGCCACCCCTAACCATCTATTAGAGGGAAGTAAAATTCAGCAGCAAGAGGATTTTTGCTAGTGAAATACACAGGCAAGCTGTTAAGAAGCTCCGAAGTCAGTTGGTACCTGGAAAAAACAACTTAAACTGCAAGAGAACAAGAAAAAATGATGATGTGCAGTTACAGGGGAGACAAAAAAAAAAAAAAATCTCTAAGGCAACAGTTGAGTAGTAATGAACAACAATTTGAGAAGCTCCTTTTTCAAAAAAAGAAAGGATGCAAACAATGAATAATATCCTATTTTCAAATTACAATTCTTCCTACAAGTCAAAAGACTTCCAATCCTGTTGAATGACTTTCATAAGATATTTCACAACTCACTAATACAAATAAATCTAAAGGGCCTGATTTATCCAAACATTTTGCTTTCAGAAAAACCTATGATGACAACTAACAATAGCACTATGCTTGCTAATCACTCCAGGTGTGAGCATTAAAAATTTTATTTCCTCACATTTTCAACTCCTTCTAATGTTAGCTGTAGAAATCAAATATACAAAAAAAAATTGAATAGTGTTTTCAAATTGCATATATACTGTGTTTATAGTACAGTACAGGTTCCCCCTGCTTCAAATACTACAATCAATATTTCTCGAGCACTGTACCGTTATCACATACCATGTTCTTGCACCCTCATCTCCACTGATAGTAGTCTTAAGCATATAGATAATTGCCAAGATAATTTTCAGGTTTTTAAAAGATATTAGTATGTTCTTAAGCACTCTATGAAACCATGAAATTAACAGTTTTGAACAGATAGTACAGAAGAGACAGAGGAGACCATACCAGATATATACCAACATAAATATCACGAAAGTAGATCATACTGTTTTCTTCAAGTATCAGTGGCCAGAAGCTTCACAATTCACATAGAACTACTCACCTTTCAGCTACAGAACAGTCACCAAAGCAACAGGACACAGCAACAAAACAATACCTTATAAAAAAATACCCCATCAACTCAAGTTTGAGCATTAAGAAATATTAACAGTTAACCGAGTTCTACATATAAAACAAAATATGACTCACGCAAATGTTCAGGCTTATCTGTTTTCAATGAACTCAACTCCCTTACAGACTTTACAGTAGACAAACTGGGTAACACATTTCTCAGCCTCAGTGTAAATCATTACTTTCTTCAAAAGTTTATTTTTCTTTCATTAAATTCTGCCTAGTTTTTTAAAAAAATTCCACTGGTCTCTACAGGAAGCCTAAGTAATTTTGGCGTAATCTTCCTCAATCCTCACACAAGATCATTTATACAAAGCCATCTATATTTTAAATAGAGACTACTTAAGCAGTTAACATCACTGATTAGGCACTCAAAAATAAGAGTACATGGGATACTTCTGACTACAAATTGTTTGCCTCACAATATTCTACCATTTCAACCCAGCGTTTCCAATTTTCAACTCACTAGAAGTTATGCTGCCAGTGAAGAGCTGAAGAAAAGCCTTCTGCCTACCCACTTCTGACAGCCTTTCCCTCTTAGATTTTCTCCATCAAAACCTACATATAAGATCCTGAAAGTTATAATATTACAAAATATTTCAATTTATTCTGTCACATGAAAATACCACTTTTATTTCAAAATGCAAGATCTTCTTATACTCCTGACCAATGTTAAATCCAGAGCTACTCATTCCTCCAAGGATCTTGTTCAGCCAAACAATAATTCTGTGAATGACAGCTCAGGAGAGTTTTAAAAAGATCCCTTACATTATGTAAAATTATGCATACAAATGCATTAAACTAGATAAAGTAAATGTAGCCTTAAAACATACATTATATGTGAATGGTTTAATAAAATCAGGTTTCATAAGTTACAAATTGGACTGGGTCATTGCAAAAAAAAAAAAAAATACACTGCATCAAGCCTAGAGCAGGCAGTTTCTTCCTCAGTGATTTAAGTAATGACAAGTTGACTGAAATGACTCATTAAGCTAAATGATTAAAGAATCATGTCAGCAAAAAAAAAAAAAAAAAAAAAACCAGTAAAAAACATTACATGAAATATGTGCAAATGTTGGAAAAATATTCCTAATTAAAGCAAAATTATTATTTGGCTGTTCACAAAAAAAAAAACACAACCACATTTCCCTTATGAAAAAAAGACGCACGATTAGTCCGGCACACTCAGTTCACTGAAGACAGTTCTCAGCACCTGAACACCACAGAATAAAAAAGTACTTGAAGTCAAAAATATTTTCTGCTATTTAAGACGAAACTGTTCTCTAAGAAACACACATTTTAAGCAACATTTTAAAATCACTTCCCATCTAAACATTAGTCAGATGTACTGAATACTAGATTTACTACTAAACATGCAAGACAGCATCATA